GGCCACACGCAAGTCCCTCATACCTACACAAACAAATAAGAACCTCGCAACCAACGCGATAAAGGGATTGTCAATCCCTTCAAGATCAGTTACGAGAGTGAGATCTGATAGAGATAATAATGATAAGATAAATATTTTTGGTATTTTTATGATATAGATTGAAAGTAAAGATTGCAAAATAAAATAGATTGGAAACTTATATGATGGAGAATAGACCCTGGGGGCCATAGGTTTCACTAGTGGCTTCTCTCAAGATAGCATAAGTATTACGGTGGGTGAACAAATTACTGTCGAGCAATTGATAGAAAAGCGAATAATTATGAGAATATCTAGGCATGATCATGTATACACGCATCATGTCCGTGACAAGTAGACCGACTCCTGCCTGCATCTACTACTATTACTCCACACATCGACCGCTATCCAGCATGCATCTAGAGTATTAAGTTCATAAGAACAGAGTAACGCCTTAGGTAAGATGACATGATGTAGAGGGATAAACTCAAGCAATATGATATAAACCCCATCTTTTTATCCTCGATGGCAACAATACAATATGTGTCGTTTCCCTTTCTGTCACTGGGATTGAGCAACACAAGATTGAACCCAAAGCTAAGCACTTCTCCCATTGCAAGAAAGATCAATCTAGTAGGCCAAACCAAACTGATAATTCGAAGAGACTTGTAAAGATAACAAATCATACATAAAAGAATTCAGAGAAGAATCAAATATTGTTCATAGATAATCTTGATCATAAACCCACAATTCATCGGATCTCGACAAACACACCGCAAAAAGAGTTACATCGAATAGATCTCCAAGAAGATCGAGGAGAACTTTGTATTGAGATCCAAAGAGAGAGAAGAAGCCATCTAGCTAATAACTATGGACCCGAAGGTCTGAAGTAAACTACTCACACATTATCAGAGGGGCCATGGAGTTGATGTAGAGGCCCTCCGTGATCGATGCCTCCTCCGACGAAGCTCCGGAAAAGGCCCCAAGATGGGATCTCTTGGGTACAGAAGGTTGCGGCGGTGGAAATAGGGTTTCGTGGTGCTCCTGGATGTTTTCGGGGTATATGAGTATATATAGGAGGAAGAAGTAGGTCGGTGGAGCAACAAGGGGGGAGGGCGCGCCCGGGGGGTAGGCGCGCCCCCTGCCTCGTGGCCACCTCGTTGGTTGCTTGACGTCTACTCCAAGTCCTCTGGATCACGTTTATTCCAAAAATCATGCTCTCGAAGGTTTCATTCTGTTTGGACTCTGTTTGATATTCCTTTTCTGCGAAACACTAAAATAGGCGAAAAAACAACAATTTGCACCGGGCCTCGGGTTAATAGGTTAGTCCCAAAAAAATATAAAAGTGTATAATAAAGCCCATTAAACATCCAAAACAGAATATATAATAGCATGGAACAATCAAAAATTATAGATATGTTGGAGACGTATCAAGGGACACAAGAGACTCTTTGTTATTTGGTTGCAGGGTTGTTTGAGAGAGACCATCTTCATCCTACGCCTCCCACGGATTGAAAAATCTTAGGTCATCCACTTGAGGGAAATTTCCTACTCTCCTACAAAACTCCATTCTTGGAGGTCCAACACGAGTCTACAAGAAGAAGGTTGTGTGTCAGACATCATCGGGTAGCTTGGGCGTCCCCTTTGTCTTTGACCGTGGCGGTGCACCGATCTGGAGATGGGGATCTGGACTCGTCGTCCCTCTTGTGGAGACCTCATGGTGGCATGGGGAGCTACCGAGCAAATGCTCTATTCTTTGTCGTCGACAACCACGACGTTCGTGGGCGCCGTTATCTTATTGAAGAGGTCGTCGATGTGCTCTCCGTGCTTGGGTTCCGGATGAAAACCTTTGTCCGGTGTGGACTCGACATCAGCGACGTCCGGTGTCATTCCCCCTCTTGCGGGCGTTGTCGTGGAGCCTAGGTGTACTATAGTGTAGTGTGGCGGTGTTTTCAGGTCTTCCTGTGTTATCCAATTATCCTGGGATCGACTTTGTAAGAGAGTGACCTTACTATCTTGTATCGTTCGGTCGTATACTTTGTGTGGTTGGTGCTTTATATAAAGCGGGACGAAAGCCTGTTTCGAGAGGGCGATGAGCCTATATGGCCTAGTTTCACACTCTTCATCATTGCGGTGGACCCTATCATCTCGGTGGGCAAGGCTTTAGGACATCACCTTCTAGAGGGCTCTCTCCTCACAGGAGGCTGATCTATGAGACTTGCAGTTAGCAGAATTGGCTAATGTAACGTTGATAGACAAAGTTGACTCTATCTCCTTTGGCGAGGTGCCCTACCACTCAAAATCAACATATTTCTATGACAGCTCTTACGAAACCATCTTCCTACACCGATGCACATTGCTAACTTCAACGGGTTGTTTGATGGCATTTGTGCTTTACATGGCCAAATGGAGAACACCAACCTCATTTTTTTTTCATTTTTGGTTAGCTGAATTTGTATGGATTTCTGTACTGAAGGCATGTGATTGGGCTCTGATTGGACCCCCTCACAATCAGCTTCCAAACTTGTGGTCTTTATTCTCTGTGCAAAGAGTTGTTTGGCGTTGCTTTGTCGCCCTAGTGTGAGCTTCATGGATTATACACAATGAACGGACGCGACTGTTCAAATCATGATTGGGTGAAAAATAAAATAAAATAAATAATAGGAAAAACATTTTGGATCATTGATTTTATCTTTTTTGCCACATTTTCTGCAAATGTCATCCGGTGATGAAATTATGCAAATAGTGAAAACGTTTGTCAATGTTCGACACAAGTAAATCTAGAATATTAAAAAAATATCCATTTTTTGGTTTTACTGTTCACCCAAGCTCACATGAGCTTAGGATAAAAACAACAATTGCGTGCAGTAAACTTGCTATTGAAAAAGTTCTTGTTTTCAATCCAGCCAACTGCATTTTCAATTGTGTTTTTCCCCTCCAGCTATGGGCGCCTTCAGGAGATGAAGGACATGGCTGGTCCGACCAAAGCGTTGTACAACCTTAAACATATCCATGCCATCAACGGGAAGTCGCCTCCCATGAATGGTGTCCCGCATAGTGTCATTTTTTTTATAAAAACATACTCTATCTCTTTATCCGATACTTTTTAGCTGTTGGGAGCGCGCCCCTATGTCGTGTGTAGTTTTTATTTTGAGTGAGGGCCATCATGGCGACTCTTGTGTGTAGTTTTGGTTTTTCATCACTTTCTAACTTGCTAGCCTTACTTTTCGTTTTGTTAATTTAAAGGCGGAGGTTGCTTGCGCTTCTTTAAACTTTTTAAGTTGCACGTCAAATGAAGTTCACCACAATTGTAAGCAAAATATCTACATATCGAGCAAAATTGAATAACTTTGAAAACTAAATTAGTTCCGAAAGGAATCAAATTGCTCCTCTGTTTCCAGTTCTAAGATGTTTTAAATATTTTAGTATAGACTACATATGAATTGAAATAAGTGAATAAATATATAAAACATGTCTATATACATCTGATTCTGAAAAAATTTAAACATGTTAATTAGTTAAATCAGATTTGTCTAGGTACACATGTGTGTATCTTGACATGATAGTTGTCTCGAATTTTTTAGATACGAATGCATCTAACATTAAAACGTGTCCAGATACATCCGTACCTAGACAAGTCTGAGTCAACTAATTATATGGCATGGAATCACATTTTGCTGGCGCCATTAGTTTGCTCAACACCCGAAATTAGTTTCCAAAAACTGAAGAACGTTAAATTGGCCAGTAGCTAATTGCAAATCGCATAATTAGCGTTAACCATTTTCAGTTTTTGAAAACTGCCCACGAGAGGTGCGCACGGGCCAGCATGCTCGTCCAACGACCGCCACGCGTCTTGAGACCGGCTAGGTGGGCACGAGTCGCTGTCGTCGGGTCTTCCACCACCACCATCCGATGCCATCCAACGGCCCATGCCCGCCCCACTCCCCCGACTTCTATATAACCAGAGCCCACGGTCCGGGTCCGACCCCCCTACGCCGTGCTGTGCTCGAGTGTCAACGTCATCGCCTAGCCTCCCGCCGCCGTCGCCGACGCCGCCGCCGCCACAAGCGAACAAGGTGAGGCGCCCTCCCCTGCCGCCCTTCTTCTTCTTCCTCTTCTTCCTCTTCTTCATTAAGCTTAAGCTCGTTCCGATCTAGTAGGCGGCTTCATTTTGCTTCCGTTGCTATGTTGGTTCCGATCTGGTACGCGCGTTTGTTGTGCCTGCCGCTTAGGGCTTTAGAAACGGCCCTCCTCTTGATCCGTCGCCCCGGTACTTCGCGGTGAAATTTGCGCTTATTTACTTGACAACTTGTTGTCTAGAGGAAGTGTCGCCCAGGTTCGCAGTGATGAGCTAGATCCTCTCGATTGGGGATTTCGTGACCCTTTTGCCTCTCTGAAATCCTTGGGAGATTGGGTGTACTGCGGCCATTATTCATCCTGTGAACCAGTCGAGGGATTAGCGTTAGTAGTGATGAGTAGGGCTGGTTCTGTACGCAGAGATTAATAGTGCCCTGTCCTTTGATCTGGGATTTAGTGCTGAACAATGGATTGCGAGCAGTAGTTTGGTCACAGTGCATTTTTTTATAGTAATTCACAGTGCAATTTGGATTGGTGCCTTTATGCTGCGAAATAGTGGCTGTGATTTAGTGCTGGACAGTGGATGAACTGTTTGGTCACATTGCAATTGGATAGGTACCTTGTGCGGCGAATAATAGTGGATTATGTTGTTCTTAGAACCTTGTTCTGGGAAGAATAGAATTTATACTGCTGTGTCCCGAGATGCTGATTCGCAGGTTACAGCCCTGCGGAGTTGAGTGCAATGGGTGATTCTTTTATTCGTTGATTCTTGTCCTGTTTGTGCAACTTGATTATTTTAGGATGCTTTGATTAGGATCTTGTATGTGTATTTCTTGTCCCTACTGCTGCCAACTTTTTACAATAGGGAGCAGAACGACTTGTGCACATTCACGCAACTGCTAACACTCATGAGCAGTTCACTAGATGACGATCATGATTGTAATGAGTTTAAGAAAATAAAATTGTTTGGATGTATGTCAGATCTGGCAATTTAAATCTAAGTTTCTAACCTCTAGAGTGTTTCCTTTTTTTGTTCTTATGGCACAATTTATGTTCTGAGACACTGATCACCTTTGACAGAGAGTTAAGAAGATGGCTGAAGTTGAAACCTTCCTCTTCACATCCGAGTCTGTCAACGAGGGGCACCCTGACAAGCTCTGCGACCAGATATCTGATGCTGTGCTAGATGCATGCCTGGCTGAAGACCCTGACAGCAAGGTTGCTTGTGAGACATGCACCAAGACCAACATGGTCATGGTTTTCGGTGAGATCACTACCAAGGCCAATGTTGACTATGAGAAGATTGTGAGGGATACTTGCCGTGGCATCGGTTTTGTGTCCAATGATGTAGGGCTTGATGCTGACCACTGCAAGGTACTTGTCAACATTGAGCAGCAGTCCCCTGACATCGCGCAGGGTGTCCATGGTCACTTTACCAAGCGGCCTGAGGAGATTGGCGCTGGTGACCAGGGCCATATGTTTGGATATGCAACTGATGAGACCCCTGAGTTCATGCCCCTCAGCCATGTTCTTGCTACCAAGCTTGGTGCTCGTCTCACTGAGGTTCGCAAGAACGCGACCTGCCCGTGGTTGAGGCCTGATGGCAAGACCCAGGTGACTGTGGAGTATCACAATGACAATGGTGCTATGGTCCCTATACGTGTCCACACTGTGCTCATCTCCACCCAGCATGATGAGACAGTGACCAATGATGAGATTGCTGCTGATCTGAAGGAGCATGTGATTAAGCCTGTCATCCCAGAGCAGTACCTTGATGAGAATACCATCTTCCATCTCAACCCATCTGGCCGCTTTGTCATTGGTGGACCTCACGGCGATGCTGGTCTCACTGGCAGGAAGATCATCATTGACACCTATGGTGGCTGGGGAGCTCATGGTGGAGGTGCTTTCTCTGGCAAGGACCCGACCAAGGTTGACCGCAGTGGTGCATATGTTGCAAGGCAGGCGGCGAAGAGCATTGTCGCCAGTGGCATCGCCCGCCGCTGCATCGTCCAGGTGTCTTATGCTATTGGCGTGCCTGAACCACTCTCAGTGTTTGTTGACACATACGGCACGGGCAAGATCCCTGACAAGGAGATCCTCGAGATTGTCAAGGAGAACTTTGACTTCAGGCCAGGCATGATCATCATCAACCTTGACCTCAAGAGGGGCGGGAAGGGGCGCTACCTCAAGACGGCGGCATACGGTCACTTCGGCAGGGAGGGCGCAGACTTCACCTGGGAGGTGGTGAAGCCCCTCAAGTGGGAGAAGCCTTCTGCCTGAGCAAACACTTAGCGAAGTCTCTGAATAAACTTAGTTTTACCTATCACAGCAAGTAATATCTCTATTCACTGCTCCAGTGCTGCAATGGTGCAAGTTTTATTTTTCAGTGTCTGTGTTTAGAGGTGCTTGTATTGTCGGTGTGCTACTTGTGTTCTTATCTGCTCATGTCATGGTAATGGTGGCGACAAGATTGAAACTGTTAAAGAAATATGACTTACCTCTCTTTGCTAGCCATCTTCTGTTGGAACAACTCTATTCAGCATGATTGCGATTTCTATTCCTTCCGCAGTAGAGAGCATCCACATAAAAAACGCTCTCATATGAGACGGAGGGAGTAACATTTTGCTAAGAAAACGTAGCACCCTCTGCGAAGGCTAAGCTAAATAAAACACATGTTTTTCTTACGTAGATGTTACTCCCTCCGAGCGTAGTACTACTGCTCCCTCCGTCCCATAAATAAAGAACGTTTTTGACACTAATAGTGTTTAAAATGTTCTTATATTTTAAAACAGAGGGAGTAGATTTTAGTCTCTATGAATGAATACCTTCAGACACATTAAATGCCACGCATTGAATCCTAAAGCGTTCGTACTACTTTGAGACTAGTCATAATGAGGGTAATATATACTAGTAACATACACGTATACCTTCATAGTGGGTAGTAACTTAAATGTGATAACATGCAAAGATTCATTTATTAGGTTATAGACTTATATTGCATTGGGACATGTGATGTTACAGTAACTAGTCAAGTTACTACAACTACCTCTCTCCTCATTAACTCATTGCCACATAAGCAAATTTGTTGAGTTGAATTCGATGTTACTGCTGAAGTTACTCCCACTGTGGCTAGTCTGAGTGAATTATGAGCTGGCGGCGTTACTTAGGATGAAGGCTACCCGTAATAAAAATATCATAAGACTAGCCACAATGGGTAGTAACATAGAATAGTAATATGCTCATGTTATTACTCTATGTTAACCTTTATAGTGAGGAGTAACATATGTGTGATAACATGCAACACTTCATTTATTAGATTATAGACTCATCTTGCCTTCATATGTGTGATGTTACTCATACTAGTAGTAACTAGCTATGTTACCATATGCCTCTCTTTCTTTATTTTGCCACATCATCTATTTTATCTAGATATGTGTGATGTTACTATCTGTGTTACTTCTACCGTGGGTAGTCTAAGTAGTATCATGCATGCCAACTAAGTAATGTTGATGAGGTGACATAGAATTAAATAAAGAAAGAAATGGTTGAATATCATATCATGATACTGTATCTTATTAAATGATATGCTATTTTGTGTCATGTATGGTAATAAATATACTTATTTATGATACCAACATATAGCATTACGGATGTAGTATCATATGCATGATACTAGTACATGATACTCTCTATTACAACCAGCCTAATTTGAACGAACACATTTTCATATGGCGTTTTTTGGTTTTAGAGCATTTTCATATTTGTTTTTGGTTGCCTACCTTTGGTGAGCATAACAATTTTCAACATGGTAATTATTATTTTAAAACATGACAATTCTTATACAACAACTTGATAATTTAATCTGTTTCAGATAGTAATTCTAGAGCGTTAGTTGGGAATGATCGGAAACCTTCTTGTTTCTAGCTGATGGAGTGATCGTTGGCTTTAGGCGTCAGATATATATTGGCGTTCTTATTTTAATCTGGCTGGTGTTGTTGCAGTCGGTCCGTCTCATTTCTGATGGCCTCTAGTGGCCTTAGGGTTTATGAGGTGTGGAGGATCCCGACCTTTGCTGGTGGAATGACTCTGTTTTTAGATTGTTCTTTGAACTTTGTTAGGGCTTATGTTCTGCTCAGGAAGGCGAGACGGCGGCGGTTCACTAAAGATGAATAAGGTCCTTCTCGCCTAGCCCCCGTCCTGATCGGTGGGTGTGTGGAGGTGTGTCTCCGGCGGATCTATGTTTGGTGGATCTGCTTGAATTTGGTTGTCGTTCGTCTACTTTCGTGTGTTTTCAGGTTGGATCCTTCCGATCTACACTACTCTTCTTCAGTGATGTTGTTGTTGCGGTGCGCTGGTCCTACGAGGACTTAGCACGACGACTTCTTGACTGTCTAAGTTTTGCTCGGCTCCGACGAAGGAGGAGCGGTGACGATGGCGCGCCTTCGGCTCACTTCAATGCTTATAGTTGTCGCTAGATGGTCTACAAATCTGGATATAACTTTTTTTTTATTTTCGGTGTTCGCTGTACTATCATAATAAAAAAATAGATAGATTAATAGTTTTCTTGAAAAAAACCTGGCTGATGCTACACCTGCCATCACATCGCTTAGCAACAATAATCGTTCTACTCCCTCTATTTCTAAATAAGATCATATTAACTACATACAAAGTGAAATAAATAAATCTACATCTTAAATATGTTTATATTAATTTATATTAAAATCTGCTTAAATTTAGAAACCGAGGAAGTAGCATTTTAGCGTCGAGGGACGCGGATGCTCTTGTCATTTACTAGACTGGCCAGCGTCGTAGTGTGCTTTTCATATTACTGGTAGTTTGTTTGGTTTGGAGTCAATAGTGTCACCACAGATTTTCGTAAAGAAAAAAGAAAGTGTCACCACAGAAACCGATGGTGATTTGATACGCGAAGTGAGAATTTGGTTGCCTATTGTGCTGTTCCACCTAATCTGCAAATTTTGTTGTGAGCTATAGAAAAAACTTCTAAACCTTTTCTCGATAAAGCTTTTTTTAGGAAGAACTTTCAATCTATTCATCAACAATCAAGGTAGTAAAAAAAGAGAAGTAAACAATTACATTCAGATCCGTAGATCATCTAGCGACGACTATAAGCACTGGAGGGAGACGAAGTCGCGCCGATGTCATTGCACCTCCCTCATCGAAGCCAAGCAAACTTTATTGTAGTGGACAGTTGGGAAGTCGTTGTGCTAACCCCTATAGGACTAGCGCACCAGAACAACAACCGCCACCGACGGAGAGAAGCGTAGATTGAAAGTATCCAACATGTAGACACACGAACGTGGACGGACGAAAATTGGGTCCACCGAAGTCAAACACCAACAGAATCCGTCGAGACCCGCCAGAGACAAACATTCACACGCCCTCCGACAATGCTAGAAGCATCGCCACGACGGGGGCTAGGCGGGAGAACCTTATGCCATCTTTAGAGAGCCGCCGCCGCCTCGCCTCTCTAAGTAGGACACAAACCCTAAAAAACTCAAGAAGACATCCAAAAACGGAGCCCTTCCATCGACAAGGGCTAGGATCCACTGCGTCTCCATGGCCCTAAGGCCACAGGAGGTGAGGCAGACTGACGTCACCGCCGGCAGGAGGCACAAGAAACCCTAGCGCTGGGTGTCCCTAGTGAAGGAAATATGCCCTAGAGGCAATAATAAAGTTGTTATTTATATTTCCTTATATCATGATAAATGTTTATTATTCATGCTAGAATTGTATTAACCGGAAACTTAGTACATGTGTGAATACATAGACAAACAGAGTGTCCCTACTATGCCTCTACTTGACTAGCTCGTTAATCAAAGATGGTTAAGTTTCCTAGCCATGGACATGTGTTGCCATTTGATGAACGGGATCACATCATTAGGGAATGATGTGATGGACTAGACCCATCCGTTAGCTTAGCACTATGATCGTTTAGTTTATTGCTATTGCTTTCTTCATGCTTATACATGTTCTTTAGACTATGAGATTATGCAACTCCCGAATACCGGAGAAACACCTTGTGTGCTATCAAATGACACAACATAACTGGGTGATTATAAAGATACTCTACAGGTGTCTCCGATGGTGTTCGTTGAGTTGGCATAGATCGAGATTAGGATTTGTCACTCCGTGTATCGGAGAGGTATCTCTAGGCCTCTCGGTAATGCACATCACTGTGAGCCTTGCAAGCAATGTGACTAATGAGTTAGTCACGGTATGAAGCATTACGGAACGAGTAAAGAGACTTGCCGGTGACGAGATTGAACTAGGTATGATGATACCGACGATCGAATCTCGGGCAAGTAACATACCGATGACAAAGGGAACAACATATGTTGTTATGCGGTTTGATCGATAAAGATCTTCGTAGAATATGTAGGAACCAATATGAGCATCCAGGTTCCGCTATTGGTTATTGACCGGAGATGAGTCTCGGTCATGTTTACATAGTTCTCGAACCCGTAGGGTTCGCACGCTTAACGTTCGATGACGATATGTATTGTGAGTTATGTGATTTGATGTACCAAAGGTTGTTCGGATTCCCGGATGTGATCACGGACATGACGAGGAGTCTCGAAATGGTCGAGACATAAGGATTGATATATTGGACCATGTTATTCGGACACCGGAAGTGTTCCGGATAGTTTCGGATAAAACCGGAGTGCTAGAGGGTTACCGGAACCCCCCGAGAAGTTATGGACCTTAGTGGGCCTTAGGGGAGAGAGAGGGCCACAGCCAGGAGGTGGCGTGCGCCCCCAAGGGGAGTCCGAATAGGACAAGGGGAGGGGGGGCGCGGCCCCTCTTTCCCTCTCCCTCTCCCTCTCCTTCCTTCTTCTCCTAGTTGGACAAGGAAAGGGGGGAACCTACTCCTACTTGGAGCAGGATTCCCCCCCTTGGGCGCGTCCCTTGTGGCTGGCCGGCCCCCTCCTCCTCTCCTTTATATACGGGGGAGGGGGACACCCCATAGACACACAAGTTGATCTTTAGCTGTGTGCGGTGCCCTCCTCCGTAGTTTTACACCTCGGTCATATTGTCGTAGTGCTTAGGTGAAGCCCTGCGTCGGTAACTTCATCATCACCGTAAACACGTCGTCGTGCTGACGGAACTCACCATCGGCCTCAGCTGGATCAAGAGTACGAGGGACGTCATCGAGCTGAACGTGTGCAGATCGCGGAGGTGCCGTGCGTTCGGTACTTGATCGGTTGGATCGCGAAGACGTTCGACTACATCAACCGCGTACTAAACGCTTCCGCTTTCGG